GTTACCCGTATTTCTAGAATAAATTAATGCACAGCTACGAGTGAAAAAGTCAAAAATTTCTCCGTACTCACTATCTATGAAAAAAGGAGGCACCAAGGAAACGCCCAACTCAATGATCAAGGCCACTGACCAGAGGGGCTGAATGCAGTATTTCTGAAGATGTTTGACCACTCATCAATCATATATGAAGGAAAATGAAATGCGGAAAAAACAAACCTGTAATAACTGATTATCTGCAGTGAGAGTGGTGATATTGTACAATTGTGAACTGCTCCCTCGGTTAGTTGTCAGTCAGTATTGTCAGTCATTAAAGAGGCTTTGCCTAAAATACATAATCTTAACGGAAAAATCCAATGAAACCAGAAATGTAGAGAAGGCAGCGAAAAATCCAGACCTTCAAAATTCGTAGTTCATTGCCTAAATCGCAAAGATTAAAGCTGAAAAAGTTCCGGCTAGATGAATAGCCGGGACTGGAAAAGGGCGAGGACTGAGGTAAATTCCTCATAATTTTTCTTTACCCAAGATCAACAGTACTTCAGTATTTTTATTATTACGAAACACGAATTCTCGGTAACAAAAAAGTGAAGAGCAAGCGACAAAAGGCCAGTGCCTTCTTCCCAGACAGGTATGGTAGTTTATCCCGTCCCAGTATCAACGGTGAGAAACACGATGAACAACTGGACGAAATATCAAAACATGACAAATTTTCATCTTTTTTTTTTCGGAATTAATGGTCTAACAACTTCGTGTACTTCACGAAGACTTTGTCCAAAATTGGCCTGGACAATGGGTACAGGTGTATCCGACGTTACTGGGATATCGTAACATTCTGGACGCAGCTATGTGAAGCCAACCGACCCTGCGCTAGTAATTCCTGCTAGCACTCACGGATAATGTATTTTTTTATTTTGAAATACAAAATTCTGAACTGCAATTAACTGTCAATCAGTTTTAGTCTGAATCCCCCAAACGATGAAATTTTTTTGTATAAGAGCTGAGTTATAAATAAGGAATGCTTTAGAATGAAATCAAAAGCACACTTTGTGTCGGAAGCGCATCGCTTAGATCCTAAAAACGTCCTTGAACCGAATCTTTCAAGAACGAACTCGTTAAGAGGATGAATTCGCACGAGCTCAAAACAGTGAGGATGAGGGCAGGGCAGGGATACCCATTTTGACATGGTACAAACAGAAGCCGAGCGAGAAAAATCACTTGAACCTCCCCTCCCCCTGCCCCTCCCCTACTGGAACTCAGGCAATAATTTCCACTGTAGGAAATGGCAGCTAAAACCGTGCTTTTGAGTACAAAGTACAAAAGCACTAGCATTTAGACTCTCACTCAATAAAAGGAGGCGGGTTGGATTAAAGAAAAATCAAAATCACATTGATAACACGAGCAGGCCAATGCATCAAAGATCAATCGGAACCATGCGACCACCAACAAACAACACATAACTGCCTGCTGTTTTCCTTAGCCTTCCCGGGAAGCAATCCACCGCTCAAACGAAAACAATGGCACCGCGTTAAAATTTTGTCCTGCCAATGCGCACCCTCCTTTTGGTCCATCTCTTTTCTCGGGTATTTAGCGCCATTTGATTCGTTTATCTTTGCCTGGGGCACGATTGTCTGCGTTACAGCACTGGCAAATCAGTGGTGGTAAATCCAGAGCTGTTCAAGTAATCTTGCTTCCCTGTGTCATAGCACTTCACTGCTGAGCTGAGTGGTACTCAATCAAGTTATACTATCCCAACGACTCTAATAAAGTTTTGATCCCGAGGTTATCATTTCTAACACATCACTCTGGATTAATTGGATTCCCAGCACTGACTTCTCTCTCCAGATCCATGTTACGAATCAGCAGCTCTCCCAACTGTCCCGAATAACTCTCCTGCTCCGGGTGGTCCTGTTCTAGTTCTAAACTACGAACTGACATGTTTTCGAGGCGCTTAAGATTACTTTTTTGTTCAAAACCATTTCCCTTAAAATGCATACC